GTCTTATCGATAACACCCCACAAAAACATCCCTTCTGGTACCCTATTAGTTAAAAGACATGTGCAGTAAAAGACTTGATACACAGGTAAGTAAATTATGTTTTGGGGCTGGATTATAAACACTGATGTGATATTGAATGAGGTTTTCTCTACTTTTACTGTATCAGTGCATCTTTGAAGATATAAAGAACTAATATGTGTTAACAGTGTTTCAAATATGGACGGCTACATATTCTAAAACATGGATGCTTAACAAACAGTTTCCCCCCCAGCGGCACAGAAAATCTATACATTCAGCACAGTTTTAAGGCGGACACCCAAGAACATTATGATGTCACAGTGAAGTTGACCTTTGACCTTTTGGATATAAAATGTCATCAGACAAATGTAAGATCACCGTAACCTTGACCTTTGACCACCAAAGTTCATCCTTGAGTCGAGTCAGAGGTTTGTGCCAAATTCTGAGAAATTCTCTCCAAGAGTTGTTGAATAATAGCGTTGATGGGACGGACGGACAACCTGAAAACATAATGTCTCTGTAACACATATTATAAAATGGCTGACGCTTTGATTCCTGTCTGAACTTCGGTCTAATAAAAACATTACAGACTCTAAATATCTCCATCATTCATCCTTATTCCTGGACCAGAGGAAGTGGAAACAGACTGAATGTGATGGGTGACAGGTCTGCACACAGGCTGTGAGTCACACACACACACACACACACACACACACACACACACACACACACAATGACAGAGTGTGTGTATAGTTTTATTGGTGCCATACAAGGTGATACAAACCAAATATTCACGGTTTACACAAAACAGTAGAGGCTACAGTCTGTTCATAAAGCATTTAAATCATTAAACAATAACACTCTTCATCATCATCATCATCATCATCATCATGGTAACAAAGTCTCAACAGCTAAATCAGGAAGTGACATAAGAAAAACGCACACGAGCCAAATCACATACAGTCACACAGTCTGTACATACACATGATTGTATGTACACACACACTCACACACACACACACACACACACACTCACACACACTCACACACACACACACTCACACACACATAGTCACACACTCACACACATACACACACCAACAGCCCTGTGTTTAAGCATGACTTACAAAAAGCTGTAGAAAAATACTCTTAAAAAACCAAACACACAAAACAACAACAACAACAACCACTTGGAATGTTCTGGATATTGGTTAGACGTCAGCATGGAGGGTACACCGGGCAATCTGTTGGGCAACTCCTCTCCTGGTTTTGACACAAGTTGTCCTCAAAATTGTGACACAACAAATATTTGAATCTTTTTTACCTCTTAAATTAAATTCATGTAAAAATGTTCAGATTAAAATCCATGAAACAAAATTCAAGAGCTCCTTGACTCTGCAGTTTTTACAAACCTACAAAGCCTGGCAGGTGTCAGGAGTCATGACTCTCGACAATGATTTTTGAGCCCAAGTGGACGTTTGTGCCAAAATTAAAAGAAATTTGCTCAAGGTTTTCTTGAGATATAGCATTTACGAGAATGAGAAAGATGCAAGGTCACACTGAGCTTGATCTTTGGCTACCAAAATCTATCCTTGAGTCCAAGTGGACGTTTGCGCCATATTTGAGGAAATTCCCGCTAGGTATACTTGAGATATATCGCATTCACGAGAATGGGATGGATGGGGTTACAGTGACCTTGACCTTTAGCCTGCAGCCACCAAAATCTATTCACTTTATCGTTGAGTCCAAGCGGAGATTTGTGCCAAATTTTAAGGCATTCTTGAGATATGATGTTCACAAGAATGGGACGTAATGGGACCACATAAAGCCTCCGGCCACCGCTATCACCAGCGCAGGGCCATAATCAGTAATTTACAAAGCATGATGGGAAAAAGGCAAATTCATGCACTCTTATTAATAATTTCTGTTCAAAGATTCAATTCATTTCTTTTTAGATAAAGACACATGGATAGACTTCTGTAAAACAACATTGTGTTGACATTCCTAAAACACACATTAAAGAGTATTTTCTTAAAAACTATCTGTAACGTTCGGTCTGTTATTTCATCTGTATATTTATTGTGCAAACTATTCCTGCCTCCATAACACCTGCCTGGCTCTGGACAAAAACATTATGAGTATGCTTCAATACACGTGGTTGTCATGACTATTTTAATCAGCCATACTGTGCCAACGACAATCCAAAGTAAAGAAATGTCACTGAAAGAGAAATATAAATCTGAACGACTGATAACAACATTTTGGAAGGAAAATTTACTTATAAATTAATAATAATTTTTGACTTACGACAGAAGTCTGTTGAGAAACTAAACTCTGTAGAAGCTGAGGACTGACTCATACCTTAAGCTAACTTTAGCAGTTAGCTAACACTTTATTTATGCCTAACATCTCCTAGTTACGTTCAGCTTTAGTTAGCTTCAGCGGTAATCTCTAGCTAGTTAAAACACAACTGGATCAACTTGGCTCATAAATACGTAGCAAAAGCTGATGCACCTCACTGCTAACATTATGAAAACTAATTATTGATCTCTGTTGGAAATATGCTACATTTGTGCTTCACAATCTAGCTAGCGCTAATGTGGCAGTTAATCATTTGTGTTAGCAAGTCTGTGAGCTAGCTAGCTAAAAGGGTTTCTTTTAAAACTACACAATTTGAGCAAATTGGTTTGTTTAAGCTGAAGCCGATATATCTCGCTGTTAACATCATGACTCAACACTAATCTATTATCTACGTTAGCATTATGCTATAGTTACATGTCACAACCTGGTTTTAGTTTTTATTTTGCACTTAATTCTGACCCCATGTAAGAAAAGAATATTTCAGTTCATAGGCTGAAAGATTAAATCCAACATTTATGACTGAGTTTTAAAACGTGACATTTTTTGTATGGAGCCCCTGAAGTCCTGATACGAGAGACTTTTTTATAATATCTTGTAACATAAGACGTAACAGCACGAGACAAAAACAAATTTTGTGGAACAGCTTTGTTTTTTGTGTTGTTTCACATTAGGATAAAAATGCTGCGTGAATCACGCTGATAAATGTTGTCCGTCAAAGTTGCCCAAATAAGTTGCCGGTGTGTTTAGAAGCAAAAAAAAAAAAAAAAAAAAATCCTCTCTCTCCGTCTCACACACACGTACAGTACGACATTGTACAGGTAACAAGGTTTTTTTTGTCTTTTTTTATCGCTAAGTTTAAGTACAGGCACTATAGAGTGAAGCATTGTGGGAAGTTGAGTGCTCAACTGGTCTGTTTTAGATAGCAGCTTTTAGAAATTCAGCACTGAGCGTCTGAACGTTGTGATTTTTATGGTAATTAAAACACTCAAAGCAGACGATCGGATGATGTCGTGGAAATAAAGTGTGTTTTTACATCTAATGCACAGAAACCCAACGATGAGCTCAGTTCACTTTGTATTAATGCAACAATAATCTGATCATATAATAATGAAATATCCCTGTCAGGGTCAAAGTTTAATTCCTCTGAGTTGCTGCTGCCACTAAGCTACAGGTAAAGTACAAACAGGTAACGTGTTTATGGAGGCAAAGAAAGTCTGTGATCATTTAAATTTCATAAGGAACACCAAACTGTGAAGTTTAACCACCACTGAGCACTGAAGGCCTTTTCACACCTGGAAGTCTGAACCAAGGTTCTTGTTTTTGTGACACTGTGTACGTTTGACCCGGTTAGTTTTGGTTTCATGTTGCAATGATGCGAGTGCACTGAAGATCTCCACATCACGTATGTCCTGTCACCTAGGTGCCATCATCATTGCCTACATCCTGACGTCTTCATCTATGTCATGTCGTCTTTGTCCACGTCATGTCTTTGTCGCCTAGGTGCCATTATCCTCACCTATGTCCCATCGTTGTCTACTAGGTGTCGTTGTCTTCGCCTACATCCCCTTGTCTTCACCAGCGTCAAGTCGTTGTCGCCTAGGTCCAGTCACCCTAGCCTCTGTCTCATCGTTGTCACCTAAGTCTCATCCTCGTTGTCACGTAGGTGTGATTATGTTTGCCTACATCTCGTTATCTCGTTGCCTGTGTCACATCATCGTCACCTACATCACGTCATTTTACCTATGTCATGTAGTCATTGCCTACGTTTTTGTCACCTAGGTCCCGTTGTTTTTGCCTGCATTCCGTCGTTGTTGCCTACATCATGTCCTGTCATTATCTTCTAGCTGAACTTCATCGTCGCAAATTTTTGTCGTCTTCGCCTACATCACGTTGCCTTTGCCTACTTAATATCATTGTTGCCTAGATCCTTTCATCTTTGCTTACATCTTGTTGCTGTGACCTAGGTCCCATCGCCGTACCCCAGGTCCCGCCGTCTTTGCCTATGTCTTGTTTTTGTTGCCGAGGTACCATTATCTTTGCCTATGCCCTGCTGTAGTTACCTACCTCCCATTGTGTCCCCACGGTCATTGTTGTCTACATCTTGTTTTCTTTACCTACCACCTGTTGTCGTCACCTAGGTCCCGTCGCCTGTGCCTATGTCCTGGCGTTGTTCCCTAGGTGCTGTTATCTTCACCTACGTCCCGTTGTTACCACCTATGTGAACTGCGCTTACCAAAACTTGACATTGAAAAGTGATGCAAAAGGGTCCAACTGTCTGAACCATCCAAAAAAATGCTTTCACACTACGAACGAACTGAACCGATTCAGCCGAGACCGCTTCTTTTCATCAGACCAGGGTTTTGTCCAGGTAAGTTTTACACCTGTGATTTTAGTTTGGATCAAAGTGAACAGTCAGTAAGTCCAACCAAACGAGGTGTGAAAGGACCCTGAGTGTTGAAGGCAGTGAAATATTTTACAGTGTAAACTTTTTCTGGACTTATGAGGTGTGAATTCAAACTTTTCTCAATGTTTTGATGTTTTCATGATCAGAAATTAAATTTGAGCAACTTTATTTTTTTTTACTCAAATTTTTGATGCAAAACTGACTAATTGAATTTCAAGTTTTTGTTTTTTTTTGAATAGTGAAAACTTAAATTTTATTTCTGAAACCTTAGAATGAAGCTTTGACAAACATAAAATCTACAGGAGTGGAATTCAAACCACATAAACTCAGATGGTTTTTAAAGTAAAATATTTTAGCGTTACAAATACACTGACACTTAAATTCCAACGTTAAGTATTCAGCAGTGGTTAAACTCCATTTGGTGTGTCGTTGTTCATTAGAAACTAAACACCGTGGAGTAGAAAAAATAATAAGTATTAATTTCTGAGCGTTTATGAATGTGTAATTTACTCGTTGACAACAATAGCTCTACTAGCTAACTCGTTAGCATCTGTAATACTAGTTTATACTACTGCTCATCCAGCAGGTAGCATCTGAAGGCTATCAGTATAGATATAGGCACAGGTAGAAGAACTGAAGGTGTGTGTGAGTATGTGTCAGTCGGTCAGGTACGTGTGGATGTAGATCTGTTGTTGGATCCAGGGAGTGAAGTGCGTCACGTTGCTGTACACTCCAGGTCCGAGCACTTTACTGAAGCACACGCTGCCCCACGACGTCAGGCCGAACAACGTCCAGTGACCACCGTCCTCCTCGCACACCAACGGGCCGCCGCTGTCACCCTGCACACACACACACACACACACACACACACACACACACACACACACAAACTGTAAATATGCCAGTGGTGGAAGGTTTGACACCCAAGATTAGTGTCAAATTTTGTCATAACTGGCATACAAATTCTTGACTTATGGCGAAAAACGTATTTTGTGAGGTCACAGTGACCTCTGACCACCAAATTCTTTTCAGTTCATTGTCAAGTCCAGGTGGACGTTTGTGCCAAATTTAAAGAAATTCACTCAAGGTATTACACCTGGGATATCTTGTTCACAAGTGTGAGACAGACAAGGTCACAGTGACGCTGACCTTTGACCACCAGTATCTAATGAGTTCATACTTGACTCGAAGTGAACGTTTGTGCCAAATTTGAGGAAGTTCCCTCATGGCATTTTTGAGATATGGCGTTCACAAGAATGAGATGCATGTACAAACAGAAAACAGAACACCTCCAGCTATGACATCACTGGTGCATGTTTTATATAAATATATATGTGTTTTCCCTGTGGGATGATCAAAGAACTCTATCGATCTATCATTGACCAAGCGACGGAGGAAAAGTATTTCTTCCTGAGAATGAAACAACTTGAAACAGAATAAGTCTGACTGTGAGTGAGTTAGAGGACATGAAACATGTCTGAACACGTTCAGCAGAGGCACATTTCTCTGTTCGTGAAGTGGACCGACTGTCAGTGCAGACGTTACCATGCACGAGTCGACTGTTCCAGCGTCGTAACCGGCGCAAAGCATCCTGGGAGTGATGGTCTTCATGTCGAAGTAGGACTGGCACTGAGACAGCGAGATGATCCGAACCTCCCCTTCCTGTAGCTTGAAGGGCACTGCCCACACACACACACACACACACACACACACACACACACACACACACACACAGTTAAAAACTTTGCCCTCACACTGCCTGACATAACTGTGTGTAACATTATGATGTTAGTGAAGTTGACCTTTGACCCTTTGGATGTTAAATTTCAGTCATCGTTTTATCCTACAAAGCTGCTTCATACTTCCTGTGTGTCTGCGAGGGTTCACTTTGGACTGAGTGACATATATGTCGTCATCCACCAATGACCCCTACGTTAGCACCTTTTTTTTTTTGTTACTGATCGGACTGTGCGCATAGCGAGCACATAAACTGCACATGCTCTGGTCCAGCTGGTGGCCTACACACCTCCAGCTGTTTACCAAGAAGAAGAAGAAATGGATGTTTGTTTTGAAGTAAGAAGATCTGCTGTGACCCACGTTTATAGAATTAGTCTTTAAAGGAGCACAAAGACTGTGTCGGACTGTGCTGGAGTTCAGATTGCGAGATGCATGTGCGGAACATCAGACCAACATGGACCCTCAGTTACAGTATGAACAGAACCACGAGCACACAACCGGTACAAGTTCCCAGCTGCTGCGGACATTCAACGTGGCGAGTGCGTCCAAGCCTTCAGACAGCTGTGTCAAATCTGATCATTTTAGTGTTGAATTGTTGAAAGGTTTCATGAGGTCACAGTGACCTCTGACACCAAAATCTGATCAGTTTGTTCTTGAGACCAAGTGGACGTTTGTGCCAAATAAGAAAAATATTCCCTCACGGTGTTCTTGAGATATCATGTTCATGAGAATGAGACACACGTGAGGTCACAGTGACCTTTGACCTTTGACCACTACAAACGAAAAAGTTCATCCTCGACTCATAGTGGATGTTTGTGCCAAATGTGTGTGTGTGTGTGCGTGTGTGTGTGCACTCACTCCTGTTGCCCATGTGACCCCAGCCTGTGATGTAACAGTAGGAGTCAGGAGAAGGAAGTCGGGCGGGCTCAGGCAGACACACCGGTCTGACGAACGGCGTCTCCTCGATCTGAAAACACACACACACACACAGGACGGTTGTTTCAAAACCAGAAACACTCGGACACCACATGTGTAACTCGTCAATACTGATAATCAATACTCAGTGTGTCTGTCTCTGACCTCTGAGTCCAGCTGCACCACGCTGATGTCATAGTCGACCACCGCCCGGTTGTAGCGCGGGTGTACGATGATGGAGCGCACGCCGCGGCTCTGACTGTGGACACCTGGGTGATCCAGGTTATTCAGACCCAGCACCACCTTCCACAGGTCCGCGCTCTCCCTCCTGGTGCACACACACACACACACACACACACACGCATGTACCATATTAACAGCTCGTTAACACACTGTGACGACCCCCCGTCTCTCTTCCTGTCCCCTGTCTCACCCCTCGAAGCAGTGAGCGACGGTCAGAGCCCACCTCCGCGCGATGAGGACGCAGCCGCAGACGTGACCGCTCTGACCGCTCTGCAGCGAGCACTGCCATGGCCACGCCCCCCGTCGGGACACACGTCCTCCCAGAATCCTCTTCTTCCTGTGGGGGTGGATGCTCACCGCCGGGCGCAGACCACACTCTGACAGACAGACAGACAGACAGACAGACAGTCTCAGTCAACCACCACTCCTTTAATGTTTATCATACATTGATTTATACAAACTTTGTGACGTTGTTAATAAGTAATGAATTAATGCTGTAATAAACCATGACGTGAGTTGTCATGACGACAACATCACTCTATTTCTCATCATAAGTACCAGAGATATCATAAATGCATTTAGGTCGCAGCATGTTTGGCTCCATCTAGTGGTCGCATCAGGAATTACACAAAAACAAACAAACTTATTCTGTCCTCTGTTTCATCACATTACAGCAGCCGTTAGTCAATAAATTGATTAGTTGATCAACAGAAAATTATCCAGCAACTATTTGTATAATTTTTTTCAGAAAATTATACATTTGTTGTTCCAACATTAAAGTAAAATTAATGGGTTGCAGTGCAGTTGTTTGAAGCTTCAGAGCCTCATTTTACACACAGTCACATTCTGAATCATCATTTTAATGCTGTACAGCTTTTTTTTTGCATGTCTATTCATTTTGTTTAAAGCTGGTATTTCTGCACAGATAAGATAACAGATAATTTTAATTTTTTTTTTTTGACATTTCATGACATTTTTTTACTTGTTTTTTTTTTAATTAATTTTTTTAAAAATATTTTTCTGACACTTTCTCAACTTTTTTTTGGACATTTTATTAGTATTTTTTTCAGAAATGTATCAACATTTTTTCAGATATTTTATCAACAATTTTTTTTGGTCTTCTTTAAAAATATTTTTCTGACATTTTATTAACTTTTTTTTCCAGACAGTTTTTGTAATTTTATTGGACATTTCATTATTTCTAGCTATTTAATAATGTTTGTTGGACATTTTATCAACTTTTTTTAATCAACATTTTTCCTGATATTTTTCAAACTTTTTTTTTTACTTGTTTTTTATTATTATTATTTTTTTTTTAAATATTTTTCTGACACTTTCTCAACTTTTTTTTGGACATTTTATTAGCATTTTTTTTCAGAAATGTATCAACATTATTTCAGATATTTTATCAACAATTTTTTTTGGTCTTCTTTAAAAATATTTTTCTGAAATTTTATCAACATTTATCTGACAATTTATTAATTTTATTAATGTGACACTCTATCTTGTGCTTCACAGTTGCAGAAGTAATAACGGGTGAAGCATCCTTGTGCACTCAGTATGTTGTTCATCGTACAGTCTGTTTACATCAGAGTTTATTGGCTCCACGTCACACAGCGTAGCTGCACTTAACTTTTAAGACTGATAGATCTCACAGTCTGCAGGAGGCTTTAGTATCGTACTGTTCGTAGAATTAAATTCCAGTGGCGGCTGCGTAGGACTCTTCACATCTCATGTGATCCAAAGTGAGTGTTGTTAATTCCAAAAGTCATTTCCAAACTCACAACAGGTTTGATCTGATGAAATATTCTGCCTCAGTTTATGTTTGCTGTGTTAGGCCTTTTATAAAAAGCACCAAGTATTAATGAGGGAGTCTAACAGCACCATAAAGTACATCTATTCACTCAAGAAAGCTGATTCATTGCCTCAGATGAGACCCTGTACTCAAGCTGAGGGTTTTGTTCAGGGATTCTTTTTGTTTTTAAGGTGATGACATCATCAGATATGTTGACAGAACTTTGAAAACTTCATTAGAAGCTAAAACTGTAAACAACAACATTCAGTGCAGCCATAAAACATCTGGCATGAAATCAAATGTCTTGTTTTGTTTTGTGCTCCAGGAAATTGTGTCCTGATGTTACAAAGACCAAATAATTAATCTGTAAAACAATCAGAAGATTCAGCGATTATGAGAATTATGGTTTGTTGCAGCTCGACATCAGATGAGTTAAAAAGATGCTCAGATATAAAACAAATCTTCACACAGTGACTTTAAACAGGAAGTTTTACTGTTGTGATTCAAAGGAAAATAAAATTTTACCTTCTCTGGTGCACAGCACGGATACTCTCCTCCTGGAATGACATGCATGACTGCAAGACAGACAGACAGACAGACAATAGTAATCAGATTACAGCAGCCGGCAGGTTTCAGAGTTAAAAAGCAGACAGCTGAGGTCCCAGGTGTTTGTATGTGGTTCTAGTGGAGGTTTATGGTGTGTGAAGTTACTGTGTGCTTGTTTCAGTCACGTTTTAATGTTACCATGGTTACCATATGATCTCACATGAATATAAAGTTTAAACAGATAAGAACTGACAGCTGAGGCACCAGCTGCGTTTCTGTGTCCTCTCTGTAAACTCAGACGGTTTTGTGGATCTGTGAACGCAGCACAGGTGGAACTCTTCATGAGATCACTTTAACTCAACTGCAGTTTGTAGAGTCACAGGGACGATTTAACTGATCAGACCGATGGATGAGAGGAGCAGCTGCTGCAGAGGCAGTGAAAACAAACTTCCAGATGCAGCGCGACGAACTGTGAAGTTTCATTTTCACTGTGCGCGACATTCTGCTGCTCCGTTTGTGCCAGAGAACACTCGGCGCTCCGAGACTGTGGAGCAATGAATAACTGAAGGGAGCATATATTCCAACAGCGCTCCTGATGACCGGCCCCGCTCCGAGAACAGAAAATTGTTACGTGGTGTCTGAAGTATTCAGCTGAATTGGAGTCGACCTGAGGGTGGAGCGAGGTCCTGTGAGGTCCTGTGAGGGCGGAGCGAGGTCCTGTGAGGGCGGAGCGAGGTCCTGTGAGGGCGGAGCGAGGTCCTGTGAGGGTGGTCTCAGTCCAGCTGTTTGTGTTTGATTGACAGCTCTCACAGGTGGAACCGTTACCTTCTCTTCTCCAGGCGGGCCTGCAGAGCTGATCCGTTCCTCTGGCTCCACTCAGGATGGACGTGCAACCAACGCCGGCGGCCCGGGACTCCAGGGTGGTCGGTTACCATGGAAACAGAGGAGGGAACTCTGCAGAGGAACATGCACACTGTAGGTCATCTGTCACACCATTAGATTGTGTGTGTGTGTGTGCGTGTGTGTGTGTGTGTTACTAACCTTACCCTAGTCCCAGCTGGTTGCAGGTCAGTTTGCTGAGCTCGTGGTTCCACTCGTCTGCGCAGACCTGATACTCTGCTGCCGTCCTGAACACCGTCAGTACAGACCCCGACCGATCGGACAGAGACACTGCAGAGAGGACGGATCAATACAAGACCTGATCACCTACACTGATCAATACAGAGCCTGATCGGTATATATGCACGTGATAAATACAGAGGGTTCTCTACCACCGTCGTACCACAGTTCCACTCGTCCGAGCTGTCTGAGCAGTGTTTCTTTCCGTCGCACCACAGAGTCCGATGAACACACTGATGGTTGTTACACGACAGCTCGTTGTCTCTGCACACCGCTGAGGACACAGTCAGACATGTTATTCATGACACGATCATGTGTTCAGATTAATGATAACACCAGTAATACAAGCAGTGTATCCACTCACAGCAGTTCGCCTCGTCCACCAGCAGGGGGCAGTCTGGGAAGCCATCACAGATCATACTGGCTTTAATACACACCTTACTGCCGGGACACTCCCACAGAGCACGCTCAGAACAGCCTGACAGAGAGGTGACATCATCAACACCAACCTGAGTCATGTGGACGTGTACGGTAAAACTTGTTGAGACAACACAGGCCAACAGGAAGTGTTACAGCGTTCGGGGGACTCTTGTTTTGAAACGTTTGCGTGTCTCACCACAGTTGTCCTCATCGCTGTGGTCGTCACAGTCCAGGTGTCTGTCACAGCGTTTGGTCGCCAGGACGCAGCGACCTGATCGACACTTGAAGTGGCTGGGGGAGCACTCTGTTGCCATGGCAACACACCAGAGACAACAACAAGGAAACAAGAAATTGACACAATTATTATGTTGTTGTTTTTTTTCAGGGGCAGAAACAGTTCAGCCTCAATATCAGGACAGACGGACGGACAGTACCGTCGACTCCATCCTCTGGCAGCAGACAGGTTGTGTTCCCTCCTTCCTCTGGAAACTGACTACAGTCAGAGTCCTCAGGCCACTGCAATCCCACAATGCCGAGCACAGACTCACACTTCTCCTTCGCATTACGACACAGAGACCTGCGAGGACGAGAGATGTTTAAAAAAATGAACTAACAGGGCGGGACCCTCTGCAGTCTGACCTGGTGACGGATTAACTAACCTGCAGGGCGGGACCCTCTGCAGTCTGACCTGGTGATGGATTAACTAACCCGCAGGGCGGGACCCTCTGCAGTCTGACCTGGTGACGGATTAACTAACCCGCAGGGCGGGACCCTCTGCAGACTGACCTGGTGACGGATTAACTAACCCGCAGGGCGGGACCCTCTGCAGACTGACCTGGTGATGGATTAACTAACCCGCAGGGCGGGACCCTCTGCAGACTGACCTGGTGATGGATTAACTAACCCGCAGGGCGGGACCCTCTGCAGACTGACCTGGTGATGGATTAACTAACCCGCAGGGCGGGACCCTCTGCAGACTGACCTGGTGATGGATTAACTAACCCGCAGGGCGGGACCCTCTGCAGACTGACCTGGTGATGGATTAACTAACCCGCAGGGCGGGACCCTCTGCAGACTGACCTGGTGATGGATTAACTAACCCGCAGGGCGGGACCCTCTGCAGACTGACCTGGTGATGGATTAACTAACCCGCAGGGCGGGACCCTCTGCAGACTGACCTGGTGATGGATTAACTAACCCGCAGGGCGGGACCCTCTGCAGACTGACCTGGTGATGGATTAACTAACCCGCAGGGCGGGACCCTCTGCAGACTGACCTGGTGATGGATTAACTAACCCGCAGGGCGGGACCCTCTGCAGACTGACCTGGTGATGGATTAACTAACCCGCAGGGCGGGACCCTCTGCAGACTGACCTGGTGATGGATTAACTAACCCGCAGGGCGGGACCCTCTGCAGACTGACCTGGTGATGGATTAACTAACCCGCAGGGCGGGACCCTCTGCAGTCTGACCTGGTGATGGATTAACTAACCCGCAGGGCGGGACCCTCTGCAGTCTGACCTGGTGATGGATTAACTAACCTGCAGGGCGGGACCCTCTGCAGGGTGACCGGGTCACACTTGGGGACCAGCAGCGTGCAGGCGTAGAACATGAGGTACTGGTAGCAGCCGGTCTGAACCAGGGCGGGGAACAGAGAGGACTCCCAGGACACGGAGCTCTCCCTCTGGGACAGGTGGCCCAGGTAGTTGGGGTAGCTGGTCAGGTTGTAGGGCAGGTTCATACACAGCTCCAGGCTGATGGGCTCACAGCGGGCTGACACACACAGAGGCACAGTTAGTACCAGCTGCCACCACCGGGGGGAGACATTCTCCACTCAGTCACAGTCATACACTGTCACACTATATAAACTTGACCTTGACACTAAGCTGTGGTGATTTCCTGGTGTTTGAGGTACCTGTACTTTACCTGAGAAGACTCATGCACTAAAAACTCACACACAGAAAATGAAAAATGACTGTTAAACTGCATTATTCAGTGGTGGAAGAAGTGCGGAGATGTTAAACTTCTTAGGGGAAAGTATAAATACCACATTATGAATATACACCATTACAAGTAAAGGTCATTCAAAATTTTACTTATTTAAAAAGTACAAAATGTACGATGTGTATCAGAGTACGTTGGGATGGTATATGTTTCATTCCTTCTTTTTTTTTTAACTGTTTTTAAAAAAAATAATTGTAGTTATTTACTTTCGCCTTTAATATCCTAATGTCTCTATGTTCTTGTTTTGTATAAGATTTTTGTTCCGTGTCTTGTAAAAACACTTGTGGTGAATAATAATAATAAAAAAATAAATAAAATAAAAAAGGGACCTATCTGGCCAACCTTACCTCAGGTCACGTTAGCTCGCTAGCTGTCCCTTTATCGCTCCTGGCTAACAGGAAGGGCTTTGTAACCTTTCATCATTTATTTATTGTTGTTACATCAACACTGTTTTCATAACACAACATAAGTTAGGATCATGGATCACTTTAGTTGAAGAAGTAATTTGGCAAGCTAGCTAGCTGACATATTCACTCAGATAGAATTTTGCTAGTGATAATGGCAGTAAGCAAGCTAAGTTAGCCAGCTAGCTGAAACTAAGCTACGCTGTATTGAGCTGGTGTCGGCTGCTTCGAAACATTAGCTGACTGAGTAATTCCCACATGGCAAGCTAGCTAATTCAGCCTTGTTGTCGGAAAAAATATTACGATGTTTATCACTCACAATGGTATTTTGCTGCGTTTGCTAGCTAACTAGCAATTTGTCCACATTATCAAGCAACCTAATGTTATATAACGTAAGCCATCTGAAACCACAATGTCTTTCACACGTCAGCATTAACATATAGATGTTATAGATACACAAATAGAATTCCTAACATTAGGAATTCTATTTGGTACTGGGGGGAACTGGAATTATGATGTGGATATGAAATTGATGGATTCACTGTTCATCAGATAACAAATGAGAGTTTTCTAGCTAGCACAGCCTGCAGAGCTTCAGCCTTATTCCCCACCGCTTGGACACCAGAGCAGATGGCAGCTCTGACCTTAGCCCCTTTAGCAACTCAAGTTCAGTTGGTGCAAAGCCCAGGCCCGGGTTCACAGCAGGTTTAGTCTGTGTAAGGGCAGCAACAGAAAGTTTGCTGCTACAGTAGGGCCTTGAGGCAGTCAACAGGAGGGTTCAAGATAAGAGCCCAGCGCTTGGGCACTCAGTCTTGCTCCGGCTAAACTCAAGTTGCTACAGGGCACTAAGTGAAGTCAGTGCACAGGCTGCTTGAGACGACTGAGAAAATCAGGGAGGGCCTCAGATTTAAGTTACGTTATAACCTGTTTGCTCAGAGGTTATAAAAAACTTCATGATACATGTAGAAAAGAGACGTACAGAACCTTTAAGTACAGAACTTAATTAAAAGCTCTGAGTATTCTTCACCCACAGTGATTAATATGTAAGTACAGAGTGCAGCACTACAGTTTCTGATGTGTTACATTCAGGTTTATCTGTCGTAGTGAGGACGTGTTCTGGATCATGCAGAGTGAGGACTCACTGCAGTTGTTGTTGTTGTTGGTTCGGGGGTCGCAGGCAGCGCTGCCCACGCCGCACACTGATGGACAGGAAGTGGAAATACAGCTGGGCTGACCAGGAGGACACACACCCTGAGCTGGAACACACACAGAAATAATAAGAACCAGAGACGACGGCGGATGAAGAGATGTGAGACGGGTGTTACACAGACAGATGTCTCACTCTGCTCTCTGCTGCACTGCTCCTCATCGCTGCCGTCTTTACAGTCGTCCTCTCCGTCACAACGAAACGCAGAAGGAATACAGTGACCGTTCCTGCACTCCAGCAGACCCTGACTCTTACAGGCTGCACACAAACACATCAGAGTTATATTTGAAACTAGTCAGTATAAAAAAAAACAGTCATCGCGGACAAAGCAGTGAATTTCAGCACCATGAATCATCAGTGACTCAGCTGTGTTTGTCAGCACAGCTTTATTCTCTTGATGTTTGATTGACAAACAAAAAGAAGCTTCAGCTCCGTTTCTTTGAACAAACAGTCATCTGTTACCCGTCATCTTTTTATGTTGTTTATCACAAGAAATCTTTAGCTGCTGTTAAAAAACACTGGAAACATCTCAGAGTGACGTAAGCTACATCTGGGAGCTGTCTGCTAACAGTCAAGCTTATCCAAGAAGAAACAAATGAATCTTGAGTTCCTCAGTTATTTGTTTGAGTAAATTAAACACAGCTTCTCTTTAATGTCCACGTTATAATGTCCAAATGTCCAAATGTCCAAATGCAAAACATCGTCGACAGGAAGTGACCGCCATGAGACGGCGTATCATCTCTAGTCAACGACTCTTTGTGCTTCTGATCTGTAACGTCGACAGGAAGTGACCGCCATGAGACGGCGTATCATCTCTAGTCAACGACTCTCTGTACTTCTGATCTGTAACGTCGACAGGAAGTGACCGCCATGAGACGGCGTATCGTCTCTAGTCAACAACTCTCTGTGCTTCTGATCTGTAACGTCGACAGGAAGTGACCACCATGAGACGGTGTATCGTCTCTAGTCAACAACTCTCTGTGCTTCTGATCTGTAACGTTGCCGTTGCCAGGTGACGTGCTTTAAAACCAGCCACCAACCATTTCTAGCTCGTCATCATCTTGTTTTCGTCATGGAAAAAAAGACTGTTGACGAAAAATTTCCGTCATAGTTTTCGTCATTGTTCAAACTGGAAGCTGGTCACAAAGTGTAACTGAAGGAAACAGTTTTATGAATGAACCTTCTCAGTGACTCACAGCAGTTGAGCTCGTCGCTCTTATCCAGACAGTCGTGGTCTCCGTCACACAGCCAGTCTCTGGACACACAGCGCCCGTCACCACAGCGATGTTCACGAGCCGGGTTGCACACTGACAACACACACACATTATGAATGGCAGTTTTTTAACCACAGGGGGCAGTAATGAGGCCACACCGTCAGACCAGAGTGAGCCGAAAAAACACAAAAGCTCAGATTTACGTCAGGACAGACGAAGACAAGCAGAGCAGCTTTAAACTTCAGTATCAAAATATAACCAATAATTTATTTTAAAATTAAAATAATTTGAAGTTGCAACAAGAAACAAACTCATTAAAATAAATGCTTTCAGAGAATCTCAAACTTTAAGGTCACTGTTCACCAAAATAAAAGCCCCCTCGTTTAGAGCAGATTAACAGCTGACAGACACAACATGATACTGTGTGTGTGTGTGTGTGTGTGTGTGTGTGTGTGTGTGTTGGCAGATGGACAGGTGGTGGATTCCCTCGCTCAGTTGATCCTGAGCTGCCACACTGCATCACTGACAGTGTGTGTTACTCTGTGTGTGTGTGTGTGTGTGTGTTCTCACCACAGCTGAGTTCGTCGCTCAGGTCTCCACAGTCGTCGTAGCCGTCACACACCAGAGCGGGCGACAGACACCGACCGGTGCTGCACCGAAACTCTCCGTCTGTGCACACTGCAGAGAGACAGTCAGACTGATGGCTGAGTTCAGGTGGGCGATACAACCCTAAAATAACATCAGGGTGTTTTTGACAATATTCCTGACGATATGCCAAATTGTTTTTGTTTCTGCTGGAGGAGCCGCTGACTGAGTTCCCTCTGAGTGGACGCCACAGTTTACGCCACACTACTGAAGCTCCTCCTCTTTTTGGAAGCACCGCGGAGTCCATCATCATTTCACTGTCAGCTGTGCTTGCTGTTGCCGTGGGTAACAGTGTGACATCAATGTTTCAAAGAGTCAAAATGCTGCGAGTATCATGATACTAAAAATTACAGCGTTATCAGGGCGGCCTCTAGCTCAGCGAGTTGAGTGTCCGCCCCACGTAGTCCTTTGCAGCGGCCCAGGTTTGATTCCAGCGTGCAGCCCTTTGCTGTGTGTCGTCCCCATTCTCTCTCCCTCTTTCCTGTCACTCTCTAGCTGCACTACAACAAAACATCTTCAAAAGATAAAATAAAATAATAGCAGTGTTGTTGCAAACAATATGATATGGCACACCCCTGTCACAGAGGTCAGGTGTTTCATCCACACCCACCGTTAACAGGTATGTCAAATCCAGCACACTCTGCGCTTCGCAGAGGAACATGGAGACTGTAGAGTGGAACAGAAAGAGCTCAGTGACTTTGAACGCCACCTCTGCCACAACACAGGTTCAGTTCTGCATTAGATCTGCACTGGTCATCTGAAAGTCGGGACGTCTCCAACAAGGTTTCTTTCTTTGAGTCTTTCTTGTTTTGCATCTTTTGTTCTCGTTTAGTTTTTATCTTTGTCCAAATTTCTTTTTTTAAATTCTCTAATTTTTCTGTTTTTTCTTTCTCATTTTTATTTTTCAAATATCTCCTCATTTTGTCTTTTGCTTTTGTCTCATTTTATTTCTTTTGGTTAAAGTCTGACGCTCATATTTTTCTTCTTCTGTCATTTTATTTTCTGTCATTTACTTGTTTTTCTTTCAAATTTTGTCTGAACCGTCACACATTTTTTCTGCTGAACAAATTTTGTGTCTTTCTCATGTTGTCGGCAGTATTGGGCAGTAACGCGTTACTATTGGCGTTGGTTCCAGTTCCAGTAACAAGTAGTGTAACTAATTAATGATTACATTTCAGTAATGAGATTACAATTACCCCAAAAACTTATTAAAACATGACTTTTGTTATGACGTCACAACAGACATGAAATATCATCTGCTGACTCATTTTAATGGTCTCAATGTGCAGACAGTTTGGAGGACAGAAACTTTTTACCTTAGTCACTGCAAATATTTCCATGACTATGATTTTGTTGGAAGTAAAGATGACAAGAACACTGTTGCTGCAGGTCGTCAGACTAAAACTCTTTTCACTGTGAAAAATGCATCTGAAACACTTTGGGTACTAAGACCGACAGCACAACAACATGAAACTCCAGGAAATACACTCCACCAAAGGCGAGCCCTCAGCTGTAGCTCTGCACTGGCTGAATTTACACTTCCTGGCAGTTACCCTGACATTCACACAGAGACACATCTGAATTTCTTTATGGGATGTAATGGAAAAGTAATATAACTAGTAGTGAATTACTGTTGACAGGGAGTAATAAGTAAAGTAATATTATTATTTTTGGAAAGAATAACAAGTAGGCCTATAGTCTCCTGGTCGACTAGTTGATTATTTGGTCGCTATGCTCTCGTCCGACCAAATTCTCATTGGTCAAATAATCGCCGTGTTACTTTCATAAGGAGAAAAGTGCTACATCAACAGCTTTCCAGGATTAATCCATTATTTCCTGCGGCGGGGGGGCAGGCTAAGTTACCTGTGAAAGACAGAAAGTTGAACTCGCCCACTCTCACACTCAGCGTCGCAGTGACACAGACCTCCTGTCTGTCTCTGTAAGCTGAAACCATTTCCCTCAGTGGAAACAAAGCTTTGATTTACTTTAATTTCACAGATAAGAAACAATAAATTGTGAAGACAATAAAGCCTCCACTAAAATAGCATTTTAAGTCTTGTGTGTGATTTATCCTGGCTTCATATGAGCAGAGGAAATCTCTGCTCATCGCTAGGCTAATTAATACAATGTAAAATGCCATAGGCTTGTGCTAATAACGTTAGCATGTTGTATTTGTGGGGAAAATGTGTCCAGATAAAGACAAGTGTTTGTCTGTGAATGCTGCGAGTTATAGTGAAGCTGATTTGTGTTTGAAACTGTCTCTATTAAGACATGTTTAATGTGTGTTTAATGTGTGTTTGATGTGTGTTTTGAATCAACTATATAAATAAAGTTTGATTTGAACTAAACTTTACAGCTCTTAACACAGTCCTCCACCGCCGACTAGTGTTTTGGAGGTGTAACTGCAGAGTGACACAGACACACCACCACACAAGTAAAAATAACGTGCAGATTATTTTTTCTCCCACGACTAATCGATTAGTTGAAGATTATGTGCGACTTCAGTCGACCAAGATTTTCTTTGGTGGACTAAAGCTCCAGTAATGTGTAAGGAGCCCAACACTGGTCGTCAGTTTTCATCTCTTCCTCAAGTTTCGTTTCTTATTTCACCTTTTTCCTGTCATTAAGTTTTTGTTTTGTGTTTCTGTCTTAATACGTCTTTCCCTTCTCTCTGTTCCTCTTTTTATCTCCTGTCATCTCTTCCTCCTTCGGAGCTTCTTTTATTTTAACTCTTTGTTCCTTCTGTCGTTCTTGTGTTCGGTGTTCACGGCCATAAACATCCTCAGAGGTCAGAGAGAGGTCGGGAGACATACACAGACAAAGAGAAAACTCTATCTGTCGTTACATTCCAGTGGTCTCAGCCTATAGCCTCCGTATATCGCCATGACGACCACCTGTCTGTCACAAACAGCTCCGGAACTTCCACCATTGTCGTCCAATCAATCACCTGCACACATCACCACGACAACGGGCTGAAGACTCCCCCTGCTATTTGTACAGATCACAATACAGTGTGTGTGTGTGTGTGTGTGTGTGTGTTCTCACAAGTGACCACAACACTATGGACCCCACATCTGATGTAAACATGAATGCGTGTGTGTCTCACCGCAGTGTGTTTCGTCGCTCCAGTCGTCACAGTCGTTGTACCCGTTACACACCAGTTTTTGTGGGATGCAAATCCCTGTCGCACACAGGAAGTGGTCCTTCCCGCCGCACACAGCTGTCAACCAATCACAGAGAGGGCGGAGCAGTAATGTCATCAAACCATCAGATCAGTGTGGAGTTTAAAACATTAAAACATGTGTGTGTGTTTGTTTTTACTCACAGGGTTTCCCTTTGATCTGTCTCGGCGTGTAACAGGCGGGGGGGGCGGGGACTGCTGTTGCCATGGGCGATGATGATGGGAAGGATGGCGAGGATGGCGAGGACGGCAAAGATGGCGTTGATGGTGGCGACAAAGCAAAGGTGACGTTGCTGAACTGCGAGCAGCGCAGGAAGTCGGGCCAGGAGGCGTTGAACATCTGGAGGACGGGCTCGCAGCCTTCCCTCGCTGCCTCACAGAACGATGCGCAGGGCAGCACGACCCGTCTGCACACACACACACACACACACACACACACACACATCTCAGTAGCAGCAATAAAACACTAATACCCATAATCCTCCTGTCAGAGGTCGTTCAGAGTTGAAGCCGCTGACACCGAACACGTGTGCGCGTGTGTGTGTGCGTGTGTACTCCAAGAATAACATCCTTACGCACTCTGAAATTCAAACACACACACACACACACACACACACACACTTGCTGTTCCAGTTACAGTCTGAACAGCTGACATTCATGTGGAGCAACAGGTTTGTTCTTGTCAGTGTGTGTGTGTGTGTGTGTGTGTTCTATCATTCTCCACCTGTCGCCAGACGTCGTCACAAACCTTGTTTGTTTACAATAATTAAGTTGAACAGTGTGATACAAACATCATGAGGAGGGTCATGTGACTGAGGAAGACGAGCGTTAACGATCCTCTTCATCAGTAACATCAGGTCACATTTATTCAGGGTCGTTGTCATGGTAACGGGGTCACAGCGCGCTGCATGCAGGATACACAGATACACCTCACGTGGACCCAAAGTTCACGGGCTCAGGTTCCTCCTGGAAACCTTTGGCCGTACGCCATTAGCAACACATGCTGAGGTCAGCACAACGAGCTGATTGGCTGTGAGTCAGTGGGTCTGTTTTCTCAGGTATTTATGTGTTACCTGTTGTGTGTCCCGTCGGCGGCGATACACTCAGGCAGCGCCAGCGAGCAGCCGAAGAGCATGATGTGTCTGTAGCAGGACAGTCTGCTGAGGTAGCTGAAGAACCTGAAACACATCATCAGTCAGAGGACGGCTCACGTCCACACAAGTTCAGTCCAGGTGTCCTGAGGCGTCCTCGCTACGCCTGTTTCATCAGGACACTTCAGACAAACTGTGTCATCAATATGCAGATGTGTTTCAGGTGAGAAAGTCACCGGTTTCAAAGATGTGAAGAGAGGCTTTGTGTTTTTGGATGTGGTTACCTTAGCAACATGTCGACCTCTGAGCTCTTCACCACGGCAACCGAGGAGGACAGCCATGTTTGGTTGTAAGGCAACATGTGACACTGAGGCTCCACGATCAGCTGACAGCTACCTAGAGACAGAGAGGATATAAAGTGTTCAGTATTAAACGAGCGTCCCTGAAAGGCTGAGTGTCCAGTTTATTAGGAACACCTCACTGCAGTAACACAGTCCTGTGATGAATCATGAAGGTTTTAATCTTCAGTTTGTTGAACTGACAGCTGTTTTTTGTTCTTTTGTCTCCTCACGTTGATTTAAACAGTAACGTGTACCAGAGACTAAACTATTTCTGCTCAAATCTCCTCTCAGTTCTCTCACTGCACATTCAGTTTCTGACTCAACAGATCAGCCAACTCAGTCACCAGAATAAATGTTGACGTACAAACCACAGATATGTAACATTTGTAGATTTCATGTAGCGGATATGGTGAAACCTTGGTTATGGTTAGAAATAGATCATGTTTTAAAAAGACCCTGTTTTCTAGCCACAAATGCTGCTGGAAATATCCCTAAAAAACAAGGTTCTGGTGCAACATTCACAGCTGGAAATGCTCTAATGTTTTGGTAAAAAAAAACTACACAGGTTTTGGTGCCATAGTTGCTGCTAGAAATGCAGTGATGTTATGCTACAAATCACTTGGTTTTAGTCACAATCGCCTATGCTGAAAAACACCCAGTTTTGTTGCAACAATCACCAGGAAATGCTGCTGATGCCTTGCTAAAAAAACACCCAGTTTTTGGTGCCATTAATGATGCTGGAAATGCCCCGATGTTTTGCTAAAAAAACACTTGGTCTTGTGTCACAATCGCTGCTGGAATTGCGACCACAATTGCGGTGTCGTGCTACAAAAGACCTGGTTTTGGTGCCACCAACACCGCTGGAAATGTCACTAGTGTCTCGTTAAAAACACAGTACTGGAGCCAACACTGTGGCTGGAAATGCTGCTGACGTCTCAGTAATAAATTCCTGGATTTGTTATCACAATCATGGCGAAAAATGCTCCAATGTCTCGCTAACACCACTTGGCTTTGTGCAACAATCACTGCTGGAAATTCCCTGATGTCTCACTAAGAAACACTGATTTTGGTGCCACAATTGCCAACAGAATTATGCCAATGTCTCGCTATAAGACCCACTTTGGTGTCACTAACATCGCTGGACATGCTGCTGATTGTTTGCTTAAAATGCAGTTTTAGTGCCGTAATCATGGCTGGAAATGCTGCTGATGTCTCCCTGAATAACACCCAGTTTTGCTGCCATTAATGATGCTGGAAATGCCCCAATGTTTTGCTTAAAAAAACACTTGGTTTTAGTCACAATCACCTATGCTAAAAAACACCAGTTTTGTTGCCACAGTCACCACAGGAATTGTTGCTGATGCCTTGCCAAAAAACACCCAGTTTTGGTGAAACAATAACAGCTGGAAATTCCCAGATGTCTTGCTAAAAAATACCCAATGTTGGTGCTATTAATGATGCTGGAAATGCCCCAGTGTTTTGCTAATAAAACACTTGGTCTTGTGCCACAATCACTGCTGGGAATGCAACGATGTTTTGCTAAAACAAAACTGTTTCAGTGCCACTTATGATGCTGGAAATGCTCTCGCTTGTCTCGCTTAAAAAACACTGGTTTTGGTGCCAGAATTGCGGTGATGTTGCACTACAAACCCTGGTTTTGGTGCTACTACTGCTGCTGGAGATGCCCTGGTGTCTTGTTAAGAACATGGTGCCATGATCATGGCTGGAGATGCTGCTGACGTCTTGGTAAACACCCAGTTTAGTTGTGTGTTGGTCTGCAGCCAAGCAGCCGTCAGTGCATTGATGAACATGTGATGTCTCATTCAGCGACACTGAGCGGTCACCTGTCGACCAATGACTGTGGACGTAGTGAGGAAGTTCATTTGTTCCTTTATTTTTAGTCTGGTGACCGCCCAGCGTCCAATCAGAGCACAGGACGGTCCGCAGCTCATTAGCATTCACCTCGACTCCACATTAATATAGAGAGAGAGACAGAGAGACACTGAAGGACAGTGGAGGAACAGAGAGACACAGAGACGAGGAGAATTTTAAAATAGAAGCTGAATGAACGATTTATCATCTCACACACACACACACACACACACACACACACACACACACAGAGTCAGGTCAGTCGAGGAGAACAGAGGACAGTAGATCTGAATTCAGCTCAGACGTCTCTCAGGTATCTACTCGTGCGTCCTGCACTAATGGAGACTAATAAGGTTTTAGTGTTTGACAGAGAAGGACACGTCCAGAACAAACACTGAGACAGAAGGACGGAGACGACAGATGATCCTGGGACTTGTAGTTTTTAGGGGACGTGACAGCTGCAACTGCGTCTTGTGCATCATCACTGGCAGAGCCGAGACACATTATCAGTTATTGTGTTTATGTAAATATGATTTCATTTAGTTATACTGTTTTCAGACAAGTACAGTAAGAACATCTGTGTTTTTAGATAAAAAATTTGTGAATGGACTTCAAGTGACAGAATTATTGGAATTATTTGGATCACGTGAGTCAGAAAAACCGTGCGCAGCCATGACTGGCATCTGATTCCACACTATCGTATTGATTGTGTATATTAAGTGAAATAATTCTTCACTTTTCAGGACACAAATCCACAATCTTTGATGATAATTTAAATAAAGTGAGACACTTAAACTTTTTAAAGCGGCCTTTTCTGTAAGACCACATTTCCCATGAACACTTGCTGCTTCCTGTTTCACTTTGTCATCCTGACAAGAACTACAAATAAAAGCACTGAATCAATTTCAGACACAAGAAACAAGAAAACGACTGATACCTGAGTCAGGCGCCGCGGTGCTGCTAATCGGCCAGCTGGTGCTGAGTGATGTCACAGAGCTCAGCCAATCAGGAGGCGTTGTGTAAGTCTGGGCGGGCGGAGCCTGAGAGGAGGATGCTGAAGGAAGGCTGGTGGTAGCAGCAGGTGTGCTGGCGCTGTATGTGATGTCATCGTCAATGTGCAGCGAAGCCGTGACGTTTTCCGTCTCAAAGAGGGGGGAGGGGCTTGTGCTGTTGCTGTGGTAACCAGGGTCGCTGTCGGCGATGGGCTCGGGGGAGGGGAGGGGGCTGGAGTCAAGCAGGCCGCTGCCAAATATACCTGAAGATCAGGAGCAAACACAGGTGAGAAGAGGAAGAGGCTTCGGCCAATCACAGCGCTGCGCTCTGGGCTCTTTTCTTATGTGACATGTTTTTGTCTTTATGAGATCAAAGAGAATAAAAATATTTGTGTGGTCGGTTACATGTTTGTTTCTTCATGTGTTTATTTGAATGTGTCAAACGTCCTGTTAAAGCCATGTAACAACTGCTGTGTCACACACACACACACACACACACACACACACACACAGTGGGAAAACTCTATGAATAGTGTGGCAGTGATGTAGTTACCATGGTGAAGCGGACAGGCTGATCTATTTACACCTCGTCTGACACACAACATGACAACAACACACTGCGTATAAACATGTGTTGTCAGCAGCTGGAGATCAAAATGCCTCTGCGCGTGATTGGACCGACTCACGGCCAATCAGAGTGAGGAAACGTGACGAGCTAAATGTGAACAGAGATGGGCTGTGATGGTGGAACATCAACACGCTGGTGAATGAATGAATTAAGAGGAGTCCTCTTCACTGAGCTGGGTCTGTACCTGCTGCAGTGTCACCTGAACCATTTCTAATTTCTCCTGACTCTCTGGGATCAGTACGACCAACAAGTATAAAAACTAAACATCGTCAATGATAATTAAGTCCAAATGTCCTCAATCAGGTCCTCTCTTATTAGCAGGATCTCAAATCTGTTGCCATACCAAACTCCATTTACCATAAACAAACAAGTTTCAGCCATAACATGTGATCAGGTTTTGTCCACTTTCGTGTTGGGATCGGCTGCAGACTGACTTGGCAGAGATGGTCGCCATCTTGTTTTTACATGCATCAGCGTGTCGTGCTCTGACCACCACTAGATGGCACTATTAGTGTCCACGAACGAGGACAACAGGTCTGAGGTAAGTAGAATGAAGTATAAGGTCGAATAAAACCCAAAATGTGAGGTGCTCACATGAGGACACAGCGTCTCAGGAGGATAAGTTTGGTTTTTAATGGTTTTAATGATTTAAATTTGGTCCTTAAATATGACCCTTAAGGTTTAGTTTTTCCTTAGCTGAGGAAATAACTGAATGAATGAATGAAGTGTGTTTCACAGAATCTCTGAAAAGGTTTCCTTAGTTAAAGCAACTCTTACCTTTCTTGCATTTCACACAGCAACAACAACTCCCGCCTCCTCCATCACGTCCTCATTACGCCTATGATAGACGTAGGCGTTGGCATGGTAAACTTAGATACACGGAAGAGGAGAGCGTCTGTAAAGGTGCGGACATGCCAAACCGACATCAAAGAACTAGCGGCGATGAAAGCCAACTGTTGCGTCGTCTATGTCGCCTCACATCGCCCTGTGTCAGTTGCATTTGAACACACTACACGGACTACATCCGACGGCCAAGTAGCACGTACGTTCTGCGCCTGCGTGAGAGAGAGCGGAGTGAGAGAGTGGTACATCCTGTCAGCCGAGGGGTTTCCTATCTGTGCAGCCGAGCACCGCAGCACCTCCACGGACTATTACATCCAGACGGTCCCGGTGTTTCCTCCTCAGGCTCCACTTCACTCAGCTGCCCGATAAACCCGCTGCTTCTTCCCACTTTAACCTGAATAACAAACCAGGGCTCGGTGCTCCGGTTGGATCCAAACGGAGAGCCGGGGCTAGCTCAGAGACTAGCGGAGGCTAACTGGCTGTGCTTCCCTCCGGTCACGCTGCGGCTAACGCTCCGCTAGCCGCTCCCAGCTAGCTCCGGTTTGTTATTCAGGTTAAAGTGTGAAGAAGCAGCGGGTCTGTGGGGCAGCTGAGTGAAGTGGAGCCTGAGGAGGAAGCACCGGTTAGCCCCGGTTTCACTACAGGCAGATTCACTCACTACAGGGGCGAGGAAATAAAACCTGAACAGCCAATCAGAGTGATCTCTCTCACCGACAAGCTCCGCTGCCGATTCAACATGCTCAATTGGCCGAAACATTGCAGACGCCGAAGTGCCGACGGTGCGGGACACACCGCAAAAACTAGGGCGACAGACGCTCATCGACGGCCCGACTTTGGTCGACGGCCGACCGTCGGCTTGGTGTGTCAGGGCCTTAACGTTACAACCAAGACAGTCAGATGCAACCCCAGAGTTTTAAAACTCAACCGGAGTCAGTGATGACCGATGAGTTACGCGAGCGGCTACGTCAGTCGGAGGCCTCCACGTGCGGAAGACAGACAGACGCTTGGCCGATTGGTCGGAGTTTTCCTAGAACCACATGAGAATAGTATAATTATGAGTTTGTATCTCTGCAGGAATTCACTTACAGTTTAGTGTGTCAGCTTATTAATAGCATTTTAACGTAAACAAAGAAAACGTAAAATTTCCAGAAAGGTAAGTGTCGCTTTAAGGAAAGACGTTAAGTCATTAAATGCATTAACAGAGATTTTACAGCAGTGCACTTCTGCTGTTCTCACCACCTCTCTACACTGGAGCACGACACTGTGGGCCTCTGGACCTGTGACCAGTCGGCATGTCCAGTAATCCATCCATGATGGTGAACACATCAGTTTGATTTTGTTCTCAGTCATGTGTCACGCTGTTCACTCAGGATGTGGAAACACACAACACTGTAAGAATTTAAATTCAATGTTGAAACGAAGGAGGTGATTCTGAACTCAGAGGGACGTCGATCGAACAGAAGAGACGTGTGAACAGACGGCAGGAGACAAAGACGTATGAAAGGCTGTAGAGACCATTAACTGTTTAATGGCGGGAAATGACACACACACATCCATCATAAAGCTCTGTGTGTGTGTGTGTGTGTGTGTGTGTGTGTGTGTGTGTGTGTGTGTGTGTTTAATGAGTCGAGGAGGAAACAACAGAAAACAGCTGCAGAGATGACAGAAGAAGAAAAGCAGAGCTCACACTGACAAACAGATGTAAACTGACTTTGAAGAAAGAAAGAAACAAGAAAAAAATACAAATAAAATAAAAAATAAAGACGAAGAAAATCTGAATAAAATAGAAATACATCAATAAAAAAAAATACAAAGGAGGAAAAGATGAACAAAGAAAAAAGAAATGAAAGGATGATGAAACGAGGAAGGTGAAGGAGGAGGAGGAGATCAAAGAGGAGAGGAAAATAAAGATGGAGGCAGAGGAGGAGAGAGGGAGACAAGATGTTGAAATGAAGACATGAAGGAGAAGTCAGGGATGAAGGGAAGAAAAGAGAAAGATGAAGAGTAAAGAGTAGGTGAGGAGGAGGAGGAGAGAAGATAAAGGAGAGGAGAGTATTATGACGAGGGGTGAAAGGAGCGAGTGATAAAAGGAGGAGGTTCAGTTTTACAACCTGCGTAAATATTTGAAATTCTTTCTGTCTAAATGTTTGAGACGTTCACTCTGATTGGCCGAGGGACTTCCTGCTGTCATGGTGACGAGAGGAAGCACGACACACACACACACACACACACACACACACACTGTGTCACACACCCACTCGTATGATGTAATTAAGTGTCCTGTGAATTAATTAGAGGATCTGAAAATGTGTCATCTCTCCTCCTCCACACTCCTCCGTCAGTCTGTTCTACTTCCATCTCTCCTTCATCCATCATGTTTTCATCTGTCATTCATTCTTTCATCCGATTCTTCAGTGAACTCATTGTCATGTTTGAGATGACATGAGCTTTGTGACATGGTGCGTTATCCTGCTGCACACCTTGGCTGGAACCAGTGCTTATTTGACTTCCTGTTGCCTTTCTGTCATCTTGAACCAGTCTCCTCTGACCAGCTCGTCTTCACCGTGTCTGCATGACGAATGTTAATGAGCTGCTGACACCTGATTGGCTGATTAGCCACGTGCATTAATGCACAGCTGAACAGGTGTGCCTGATGAAGTGGCCGCTGAGTGTCTATCAAGAGCACTTGGGATGTGCCCTGAACAGGTGTCCTGAACATCCAGAGGGCAAAGGCTTCATTTCTTTCTCACAAAAACAAAACCTTAGTTGGACGACAAACAAGATCTGATGTTTCCCTCGCCCTGTATCTTACACGCTCGTCAGCTGTAGCTCATCGCCGCCATCGCCGCCGCTCAGAACCATTCTTACACCACAAGAGTTGGACTCACAGCCAGGTGCAGATCTCTAACCTGCCAGACGAACAGTCCCTCCAGCATGTTGTCATACTGCCATCAAATTCAGCCAATCAGTGTGGAGACAGGTCTCCATGCGCCGCTGTTTCATTTGAGCTCGCCATGATGTCACTGACTCGCAGCCAATCAGCTTGTCCTAAGCACATGTCGCCAACAGCGTACGGCGAAAAGTCTCCAGAAGGAACTCAGGTTGTGAAGTTTGGTTCTATTAATGGGCGCCAAACTGTTACAGCTCCACCATCCAGCTTCTCTACCTCCCTACCTTCTCTCCTTCACTCACTCTTCCTTCTTTCCTTCCATCTTTCCTTTCCTCTTTCCTTCCCTTCCTTCTCTCTACCCGACCGTCTTTCCTTCCTTATTTCCTTCCCTTCCTTCTCTCTACCCGACCGTCTTTCCTTCCCTTCCTTCTCTCTACCCGACCATCTTTCCTTCCCTCTTTCCTTCCCTTCCTTCTCTCTACCCGACCATCTTTCCTTCCTTATTTCCTTCCCGTCGTTCTCTCTACCCGACCATCTTTCCTTCCTTATTTCCTTCCCCTCCTTCTCTCTACCCGACCATCTTTCCTTCCCTTCCTTCTCTCTACCCGACCATCTTTCCTTCCTTATTTCCTTCCCTTCGTTCTCTCTACCCGACCATCTTTCCTTCCTTATTTCCTTCCCTTCCTTCTCTCTACCCGATTAGGGTTTTGTGTGCGTGTGTGTGCATGTGCGTGTGTGTTAGTGTGTGTGTGTGTGTTAGTGTGTGTGTGTGTGTTAGTGTGTGTGTGTGTGTACCTGTGAGGGCGAGGACGAGCAGCAGCAGGCCGGCCAGCAGGCTCATGGTGGGAATCAGGATGTAGAGGAGAAGTCGAAGGTGATTGGTCGACCCCAGCTTGTGAGGACACGCCTCCCCTCCCATCCCGACCTCGGGTCCTCGAGCCGGCGCCTGGGGGACACACGGAGAACAGGTCACATCCAGCAGACGTTACCAAGCAACTGAATCCAGGTCATTACATCAGCAGGTGGTTTGAGTGAAGGAGAGCTGCGGGCTGGGAAACGCCACGCTGACCCTTTAAGTCCACTGTAAGCCCCGCCCCCTGCTCCACAGGTTATTTTTAACGAGCGGGGGGGGAGGGGGGGGGGGAGTGACCCGGGTGTTTCTGTCCGCTCAGAGTTTCCGTTGGACATGTTGAAGTTATTTTTAAAGTGATGTGACGGCGAGCCGACACTCGACACCACACAGCGACCTCCCTGCTTTAAATACAGCCCCCTCTGCCTCTGCCCCCCCCCCCCCGCTCAATACTTTGATTATTGAATCATTAGGGGTATTGATTACTGAATTACTGATCTGATCGAGTCACAGATCTCATATAGCCCATAGATCTGTGTTAGAAGCTGCAGATACTGATGGTTTTATGTGCGTCAGTCAGCTGTCTTCACTTAGTGCTCATTTAAAGAAGCTTTTATTTTGAAAGGACAAACACACATTTACTCTAACGGTTTTTTATGTGGTGTGACCTCAGATCAGATCAGCTGACTATGACACACACACACACACACACACACACACACACACAGAAAGAGTCCAACTGTCACTGAATGACTGTTTATTAGCACAGGTGCAAACTACCTATTAATATCAGTCTGCTGTTTATTTTATCAATCACTGAATTATTTGATCTATTTAACATCAGAAAAATATTTTACTGGTTCCAAACGAACATGTTGAATCTGACAACACACAACATTCAGTTAATTATCACAGAAGACAAAGAAAACCAGCAAATATTCACATTTAAGAGCAAGAACACGACCCTAACGTCACCAATCGATCACTGCCCATAACATTTTGAATAATCGTGTCAGCTCAACTTCTGAGGATCAATAAATATAAGTTTTTACTAGAGCTCAGCTGATACTTGGTTTTTGGGGCTGATGCTGACATAAGGACGTTAACTAGAACTATCGCTATGAGTCAGTTTCCATTAATGTCTGTGAAAGATTTTCATGGTACGATGAACGTGTCAGAAAGTGTCACAGTTTCATGGTATCACAGAATTTATATTATTATCAGTCAGAATGATCCTTAAAGGAATGAAAACAGAAGGGTTACTGTGAGCACAGTCTCACCCCAGAGTCGTCGCAATCCAGCGCTTGGGCAGCGACTCGCAGTGTCAGAACCCAATAAAAAAAGCTGTTCTTTAACGTTGGCGTGATACAAAGCAGGTTGGCATTATAGTTTAATGGCGCCCAGCGGCGTCAAGGGGAAACGCGGCAAGACAAGGACAAAAGTTAAGGTGCCAAATGTCCGAGTGGGGCTGGTGGGAGAGGGGGTGGATGGGTCCAACACCGACTTTCACCTGAGAGAGCGGTGTTCATGTCCCGCAAGATGGTAAAGTCAAACCCTGTTCTTTTGTCCTTGTTTAACGAAAAAACATCAGTTGGTGGTGTTGTACCGACGTAGTGCTTTTATTTTGAAAGAGACTGTATGCAAACTGTATATTTCCTGTGAAAACAGAAGTGTATTTTGAAAACAGACAATGCATGTAACAGGCTGAAGTTGACACGGCGTCCCAGAACGTCAACAACCAACACACCCAGGGTACCTTGGACGTCATATGTGGACGTGGAAAGTCCATGACCAAACGTGGACATGTGACGAGGTCACAGTGAGGATGATGATGGTATTGTTGGATGAACAAACGTTTTATTACTATAAATGAAACTTGAAACATTTTGTTGATGGAAGTTTGTGTCTGAAGTCTCGTCTTAGAATATAACTCAAATAAAGCTGAGATTCAACGTCTTCTTTCCAGTATCGTAGATAAGCAACTGTACACGGTATGACTGTCAACTATTTTAATATCACAGTAAATCTCTAAAACCCTGGTCAGCAATCAGCTGTCTGCCCCGCCCCCGCTGAAGGCTCATAATAAATAAGCTCATTGCAAACGACGGAGGTCAACATCACAACACACATCGAAGATTTGTGGCAAAGCTTCTGTGACATCAGGCATTTGACAGCAACCACAGAAACAGCTCACAAAGTCCTGGAGGGACTGAGTGTCTCTCAGACGACTGCGACACATCGCTCAGATCACGTCTTTGAGAATTCACATCACCCTTTCACACATTGGTTGCCGAGGCGACCGTACGCGGCGCCACTGATGGAACAGCCATCAACATCCGGAGGAGCTGCGGATCGACCCGCCAATTAATGGACGAACCGCTCTACCTCTGACCTCATCAATTCATTCGTCAGTCCAAGTGGACGTTTGTGCCAAATTCAAATAAATTCCGTTGAGGTGTTCTTGAGATATCACGTTCACAAAAACGAGACAAAGGGACAACCCTGAAACATCTCGTCTCCTGCTGAGGCGTCACCAATATACTGATGTATCGGCCAATGTGACAAAACCATGACACGTATGAGAATCACCAGAGGAGCCACGATACCACATTATTACGATACTTAACTCATGATATAACATTAGTCGGGTTTTAAACATGTTGTGATATGCTGAGAATTATGATAATATACATTCTGACTTATTACCTTTGTTCAACTGTAAATGATGTCCTCTGTGTGTGTGCGACCAACAGTTACATTTGGATTCGTAATATTAGATATTTATATAATACAATAAATGTACAGGCTACTTGGTGTCCACACTGATAAGATACTGCCACAGAAAAACATCCCGATACTGCACTGCATTGATCTTTTCCTCGATCCCTAATATTTACACACAAACACATTTATTATTTAATGTTTCAGTCAAATCTCGTCTGAACTGGAGGCAGGACGTTTTAGTTTAACAACTTCACTGTTAAAAATGACATCAGGTCACTGAAACAGTCATCACTGATTTAATAATTATAAATTCTCCCAAACATCTTTTTCTGCATAATGTTTAAAAATAAAAAATCATATTGATGCATATCAGACAACATGTACGTTAATACCGACATATCATCTGTGATAGGTCGATGTCCGCTGGTTTTATCGGTCGAGCTCTGATTCCTGATGTGAAACATAATTATATTCTATTTGTTTTATCAGCAGTGAATAAAACCTTTTTCCAAATATGATACTGTGAATAATTTAACTTTAAATACTGCAGTCAGTAACAGTCATTACACTGCAGCTCAACAACACGTCACTGAAACACAACTATATTATGACATCATTTACTCTGCTTGTAATTTTACTGACATGTTTTGGATCATACAATTATTACTAACGTCTTTCTTTCAAAAGCAACATGAGGATCTGATGTTTTTGTCTTCTGTGAGAATAATCGCAGGCATTGCTCCTTTTTTAATGAATTTATAGGCAAAATATTAAAATCAAGATGATGATCAGGAGATAAACTGATCATATAAAAATATTCATTGGCTGCAGTGAGTTTGATTAATTTAATCACAGGCTTGTTTCCGTCCCGTCTCACTGATCAATGATGTGTGTTATCAACGAGAGCTGTTTGAGGGTTCAGACGTGATTTCAGTTTGAAGCTGCTCTTATTATCGTTACTGATACAATAACTGCTGGTGATGTGACAGCACGGGCGTAGACGTGTTGGGGGACGCAGGGGACACGTCCCTCTGGACATCTAGAACATTTTCCCTCCTAACAAAGACGTGAAAGTTTCAGAGGACTTTCATTTTTCAGAAATCAAAGACTTTCTGTTCCCTAAATTCTGAACAAATTTCTCGCCCTTATGTGAACATGTCTATTTTAAAAAATCTGTCAGCTTCAAAACTTTAACATTAACTTAAACACAATAAAACAAACATTCCCGTGCACTAAACGATCTGAACTTTTTGCTGATAGATGCTTCGAAGGCGTTTCTTTAATCTGACCAACAGTCGGAAAACAAATATTAATTTTAAAGCTGCAACAATTAATTTATTAAGTCAAAAGACATCAAATTAATCTGCAAAGACTCCAGTGTAGTAAATGTAATTAATCTGAAGTGTTTTTAGGATTTACAGACATTAAAATACATCATTTTGTGCACAAGAAAACTGTGTTGACCGGTTTCTGACATTTTACTGACACAATTATGATTTATGTAACTAATAAAACAGACAGTGACATTAATAGCATTCAGTCTGTGTGTTAGACACGATAGGACAAGAAATTTATGAAAATAATCTCCAGATTAATCAGATGCAGCTCAGATTATCTCAGATACACTTTTTATTTTTAGTAATTACTTATCCCAAAGGAAAAATACTGTTGCACCTTCACACCTGCAGCACTTTGATTTCAAAGACTTGCATTGGATTTATTTTTAAATATTTTAATGGAATTTTTTCTGTATTCTCGATATATTTATGTTTCTTTGCACCATTAAAACAACAAAGTAAATTCCTTCAGTGAAAATTTACTTCTCAGTAAACCTGATTCTGATTCAGCTGAAACTGAAAATAAGAAAAACGACTTGTTAATAAATTAATTCTGTCCAGTTAATAATTAAATGAATTTAGAGTTTCAGGTTTTCTGATTAATCTGATTCTTAGAGGTTCAACTGAAGCAGCACAGCAGCTCTCACACCAACAGAGACACAGAGACAGAGACACAGAGGACAGACACAAGGAGACAGAGCTGAAGGACAGCAGCGCAGACAGGAGGAGGACACAGCTACACACACACACACACTCACGCACACACTCACGCACACACACACGACTCACCGTCACAGGTCCCGCTCCGCTGAAGGTGACACGCGGGCAGGTCTCCCGCCGCGCGGACAACATGACCTGATGCTGCCCGCCGCTGAGCGCGAGACCATCCCTCTGCCTGCTGCCCGCGAGCAGCTCCGCTAACAAACCGAGCACGAGACGCGCTGGCTCCGCCCCCTCAGACTCTCTCTCTCTCTCTCTCTCTCTCTCTCTCTCTCTCTCTGTCCGCGTCCCTCTACCGCCCTCCCTCCAACACACACACACACACTGCTCAAGTTTTCTGCACGTGACGAAGCCTTAACATGGGATTAAACACAGTTCGCGGTCAAGTGCATGCTGGGACATGAGCCTCGTGCTTGTGTGCGTCTTAAATCCCCCCAAACACAACTTTAATTACAACATGTGTGTGTTCTGCTGTCTTTGTGAGGACCAATTACACTTCACACTGTCAAAGTGAGGACATTTGGAATAGTGGGGATATTTTGTGCGGTCGTTGCCTCAAATTGTTGTTTTAAGAACTTTTGAGTTTCGTTCTAGAATTAACATCAGTCTGAATCCTGTTGACATGTTTGACAATTAGCCCTTGCTAAGTCCCGCCCCTTTTTGCTCTGTTTGCTTGCTAGTAGGACGCTCCAAAGATGACGTTATTTTCCTAAGTTGACGCAGTTCGGCCCAGAACTCACTGCCTGCGTGAGCAACGTGTGCGTCACAGATTTTTTTTCCCCGCACCTGTGTTAACGGGTTACAGCAGCCGCACTGCCCGCGTGAGCAGCGCTGCTCAGGAGGAGCTCGGCTGTGGAGCATCTGGAGATTGAGACGCTCGGCTGCGTCCACATGGCGTTTTTCTGCAGCAGAGAAGCGGTGGCAGGGCGCTGGGAACACTTCATAAAAAACTGCTCCCAGCAACACATTAATTACACTAAGATTAGCTAGGTAGCTAACGTAACTGAGCTGAGTAAAAACTGTAGACAGACCCTGAGTTTGTGCAACTGAAGAAATTCTGCACAAACCATCAGAAACCATCTCAGAGAAGCTCATCGTCCTCACAAGGGTCCCGACCTGACAGCCGTTTGTTGTAACTGACTTGTGCAGTTGTGAGGTCGGTTGGATGTACTGCCAAATCCACAGGAGCGACACTGGAGACATCTTATAGTGGTGAAATCAACAGTTGACAGACAACAGCTCAGGTGGACGTTCCTGCAGTCAGCGTGCCAAGTCGACCTCAGTCCACTTGGCATTCCTTGAGGCACTCATGAGATGTCGTGCTCATAAGGATGGGACGGACAGATGGACGTACATCTTGCAAACATAACGCCTACGGCCACGTCTGCCACCGATGTGGAGGCATAGCAAGACGCCAGCGCTGAGGAAAAGAGAGCTACGTAGACACAGGACCTTAGATTGTGCAACTGAAAAGTATCTGCACAAACCATCAGAAACCGTCTCAGAGAAGTTAATTTGCAGGGTCATCGTCATCACCAGGGTTGTGAGGTCGGTTGGATGTACTGCCAAATTCACGGAAAGAACATTGGAGACGTCACTCAGTTGACAGTTGACAGCTCGGGTGGATGTTCCTACAGTCAACATGTTAACAACAACACGATCCGTCTGTGTCATGTGTCTAACATCAGGTTTAAGTGTGACGTCCCAACACACACCTGTGTAGTAATGACGCTGTTTAATCAGACACACCTGTCAGGTGGATGGATTATCACTGATAAGGAGAAGTGCTCACTGACACGGATATTAAAAAACATTACCAAAATTTGACAGAAATTTATCTATTTAATGGAAAGAAATCTAAATCTAAACAGTGTCTCAGACCTGCTTCTGTACCAAACACTTCATATTCTGAGTGTGTTCACACCGCACAGTACAGGAGAACACAGTGCACTACTGGAGCACTCAAAACAGTCCAAAAGTTGAGTGTGGAATGATGGACACTTCTCAGCCTCAACGGCCGCCATCTTTGTGACGTAGCAAACTTTTGACATGGCGGCTGGGGACAGCGAGGAGCCTGAGCTGGCTACAGTGAACACCACCACGTTAGTAATACGTTCTTAGCGCTAAATTCTGTTGCTGAATAGAAGCCGTCTGTCATGATTTGGTACCGCCAACAATAATGTGAGGGCTAATGCTAGCTTGCTGCTAGCTACAGCAGCACATTTAATCAACATTGACGTTGTGGTGCAAGTTTGGTTTGTGTGTGGGTGGAGACAGCGGTCAAATGTTGGCGATAGAGCTGCACCGTCTGTTTAAAAGGACGACAAAGAAGAAGACGAGGCAGTTAAAAAAAAGCCGTCATCACTTCCAGGAAGTACATAACGGCAGTGCACGATTTGAGACAACACTGAAGTGTACTGACAGAAGTATGAGATTTGAAAAACAGGAGCAAAAACAAAAGTGTTGGTTTAAATTTCTGTTCAGTGTCGTTCTCAGGGGAGCTCCTCAGTGGGCAGCTCCTCAGTGGGCAGCTCCTCAGTGGGCAGCTCCTCAGTGGGCAGCTCTTCTCATGAGCACCTTTTAAACCAACATCCACTCTGACTTCCCATTTAGTAAAGTTTATAAAGCGGAACGAAGCCAGGAACTCAAAGAATATCACTATGAGACCGTTCAGATCAAATGTAAGAAACAAAACTATCATACAGTGTGTGTATATGTAAACTGATTTCTATCTAAACTCAAAGTCTAATTTAAGTGAATCAATAAAGATTAATAATGATTCAAAGTTTTAAATGATTTAACAGACATAAATACAAACACCTCCACATTACACTGTTGACTGGAACTCTCCATCATGATGTATAAATATAATGACTACCTTCAGTTCTTCATCGTCAGCTCTGGAGGAACAGCGCCTCCTCTCTCTTCACCGCTGTAAACACATTCAGCTCAGTACAGCACCATCACTTTAACTTCACTCATGTTTCTGAAGTCATAGTTAAATAAAAAAAACGAAGATAAACAAACCTTTATTAAACTTTTTTAAAGTTTTATATGTTTTATTTTTCAAATGTTTTGAAAAAGAAAAGACCAAAACACAAAACATGGAAACTTTTTTTGTTCCCAAAGTAAAAGGTTTCTTTTCAGTATCTGATGGATCCGTGTTACTGAGGCGTCTTCACAACGAAATATAATATCACTAAACTTTTTTTCATCTGGAGCCAAAATCAAACACATAAACAAATATAAACCTTAACTTTGACTTCTATACTTGTGATTATTAATTACTGATTACTGATCAGTTTTCATTGATGTTGATTAAAAACTCAGTTGGTTGTGACCTGCTGCAACAATTAGTCGATTCATTTATCAACAGAAAACTGTGATAAATGACCTCCGTCTTTTTTTCCTGGTATAATAAAACTGAAGATCTTCTTGTCTTTGCACTGGTGGTCGGACACAACAAGACATTTGATGACATCACCGTGGGCTCAAGGATATGCTGACGGATATTTCCCACCGTTTTCTGCTGTGTTTTCGTCCAAACGTTTCACTGACAGAATAATCAATGAGGAAAATGATCAGCTCTAGTTCAGAAATTTAACAGCGATGACTTTTAGAAGTTTGTTGAATAATTTAAACTAAATGTTTATTTCATGTGATGTTTGTTGGCGTTGGTATGGGAACTATTTTAAATCATACTCAACCTTCACCTGACCTTCAGCAGGAAGAAACTAAACTACGACTTTGAAAAACAAGACTTCTCTACAGGGACTAATGTTAAATTACAGAGTCAGAAACCGACAGAAAAAGTCACAAACAGGAAGAGTCAAACAAAATAAAACTGCAGGCAGCAATGGAAACATGACGTGAAGACAGAAAACAGAAACACAGCCGACACGTTTTCACGTGGTTTTGTTGATGCGTTGGTTCAGGGCGTGGTCAGGAGGTAGTAGGTGGCGGCGGACAGCAGAGCTCCACCCAGCGGGACGAGGACGAAGGTGGCACACCTCCTCCACCACCTCCCTACCCTCCCCGCCTCATCATCCACCTCCTCCCTCCTCCCCCGCTTCTTATTCCTCCGACCTCCTCGCTGCTGACGCTTCTCGAACGCCTCCAGCTCCTCCTGAACACACGGACGTCAAATACAAACTCGAAATGTTATTAATTAATAAAGCTTAAAGATTTAATAATTGAGGCTTAAATACAAGTTTCTGACTTAATTAATGCTAAAGAGACATTTATTAAGTTTTAATTAAAGTGATTATACTGTAGATTAAAACTATCAAGGATTGAACACCACAGTATTATAATGTAAAGTAGAAAAAGGACTGTTAATTAAGTTATTAAAGCTCAAATACTGTCTGAGGCTGAATAACAGAAGTTATTGAGGTTTATCAAGTCGTAATTTTTTTGTTTTCATTTATCAAAAACTCAAATTAAGTTTACTACTTATTAAGAAATGACTCATTAAAATTTACCGATGCAGTTATTACTACTGAAGTATTAATTTATTAAGAAATCATTCTTATCAATATTAATTGATGTAGTTATTACCATTTAGGTAAAATGTATTCTGATTTAATGCCTATTTAGTAAGAACTCTTATTAACATTTGATTATGCATTTATTACACTTATTTATCACTGATTCATCATGTGAGTAATAATTTGAGGTTTCATTGTTTTGTTTTTGATAATTCTGTTATCAGTACTGATGCAGTTATAACCATGCTTGTTTCTTAAGAAATAACTTTTATGAACAATTACTGATGCAATTATAACTATTTAAGGACATATTTCTTAACTTTAATTGCTTTTTCATCAACAGTTTACTGGTGCAGTTAAAACCACTTAAGTAATAACTCTTTAAGATCTGATTGCTTTTTTATTAATCATTTTGTAAGTAAGGTTTACAAATGTAGTTCTAACCATTCGGGCAATTTTATTTTAAAAGACTGAAATACTTTTTTATTACAAACTCTGTTAATTAACATTTACTGATACAATTATTACCATTAACATACTAATTCACTTTAGTGTAACTGCTTATTTCTTAAGATATTACTATAACGTTAACTTACACAATTATAACTATAAGTATGTATTAATCTATTAAGATTTCATTGCTTTTTTAAATTAAGAAAACTATTATCAATATCTAC